TTTTTGTTGCAGAACAAAGTTTGCAGCATGCGCTGGTTTTTTTCTAATGATATCCGCAAGAGTCTGACGAATGAACGAACACCAATGACAAACGCCTGCTGTTATTGAGAGACCTTGGGTCTGAGGATTGGAGCTATAGACATTTGATGACATTTGTAGGTGCATACCATGCTATGTCACATTTTCTGTTTGCTGAGACTTTGTGGAGCCTGGCGACTGTCCCTGGTGATCTTGTTCCATGGCTATGTCAACATCGGGTGTTTCTGTAACGATTTGCTCAATCCAGCCCTGGAATGGATATGAATAGACTGCCAAGTGGATCGATCTCCTCTAGCTCGATCTCAGGCCTGATTTGGACGGGCGACACAGCCCAGAAGCGTGTGGGTGCCACATCGCCCCGCGCCGTGGCCGCAAAAATCTGAAGGGATAACTAGGGCAGTCAGGACTCATCACATCACATCACTCATAACCAAGCCCCTAAACGCTGTGAAATCATGGCCTGTGAAATGAGGCGTTTGTTAATCTTCAATGAGTTCACCTTGCAGGGGCCCTGCTTGCAGCCGGGAACCACCCATTTGTTCTAGTGTTTTGGGAGGAAGCTGAATGGATCGTGAGCCAACTCAAGTTGTTCGGGTCTTGATCACCAGAGGAAAATCATTCTTTTTCATGAGAGTGTAAAGCTCTATTGTACGCTTTCGTGCTCCTGAAGATTTGATCGAGGCAGAGTCATCTTTGGGGAAAGATTTCAAAGACTACTTTTGTGTCTTTGTTGTCAGTTCAAGTCTCATTGCGGAAAGTAGCCAAAAGATATGAAGGCCATGACATGTTGCTTGTCAAGGAGCTCCTCACTTTGGTGCCGACAAATGCTTTCCGTGGATGTTGGGCAAATCACCTGTGGGCTACCCAGCAGGCAGCTTCAGGGCCTGGCAACTCACTTCCTGGCAGCTTCAGTGGCGCAACGCTCCCCCCTGCGCTTTTTCGGGAAACGGACGATTGTGAAGAGTGTTCGTCCGAACAGGAGCTGTTCGTTCGGCTTAGCTCGTGGATTCCAGCTCGAGCCACGCCTTGGCGAGCCGAGACACCACGAGAGAGCCAAGAGCCGAACGTCGCACGGTCTTCGCATCTGATGTCCGATCGGACGACCGAAGCCGGCGCGTCTCGCCGTCGGACCGGACGTGCGGTCCGACCTCCGCTGTGGCTCCCGGCAGGGCGGACCTTTCCAATTCTTGCCAGGTCTGGTACTGTAGGTCTTTGGACTCAATGGCCAAGGCATGCCAAGGCTGTTGACCATGTGTATCAACGGGGTTCCCTCACCCTGTGGCTGTGGGGGTGCAAAAGGCTAATCCATGCTAATCCCGTGTGCTTGTTGGTCGATGATGCCACGTATGCAACTTGAGTCAAGCTCAGCAGAAGCTGACCATGTGACTTTGCTTCCCAGGCTTCAGACTTGTGCTTTCATATCGTTTCACTTTTCCATCTCTCCCTTCCCTCCCTAACACCCTGGGTGCCCAAAACGCGCCGAAGAGGTGCGAGCCCTCATCATGAGAACGACGCACTCTTGGAGGCCTGGTCCCGCACCGCGGGAGCGTATTCGATCGCGAGGAGCGCCTTGGAGAATAAAATAGTAAGCCGGGATCACCCTGTTATCCCCTGCTTTTTGTGGGTCAACATGTTTTGGTGGTGAGAGATGCATGGTGATATCTTACATCAGCCAGGATTTGTTTGACAATGCATGACAATGCCTTAAGTATCTTAAGTGTACATCCATGGCACTATGTGAGTATGATATGATCTCATTGCGCTTGCACCGTTTTTGCAGCTCTTCCATCTTGCTCTGGGTCCAAACACTGGTGCTCTTCCATCGGTCGAACTCGTGTTCACCCCGCGGTGCACAGGACGACTACGAGCTTCCATGGCCATCCGAGATGCAGGAGCCGCAACGAGAGTTCGCAGTCGGGCCAGCTGTGGGCATGGAACAGATTGGCTTCCGGGGTCCACAAGGGGTGCCACTTGCAAACTGTCATGTTTACATGATCTGACAAGTTCAGTACGAGCCTATGTATGTCTTCATGTTGATTACCTTGTTATGATTTCACTTGTTTTAAAGACATCAATATATATATATATAGATAATATATGTATATAACCATAGATATGAAGTCGAACAAATAGAGTACAAACAAAAGACACACATAAAAGAAATTAACAAATCATAAATCCGTCCATATGAGTAACACGTGGTTCATATGTTTTCATGGCATTCATGACTAGACAGAATATGTTCGTTTAAATTCACAAATGCATACACATACTAAAATTATATAGTAGCATCATGTAGTATCAACAACCCTATGACTTGACTTTGTTTATACATGAAGCATATGAACCAATTATGAACAGTTGAAATATTTACCCAGCCACAAGTTTACGTAGGCTGGTTCATTAAAAGAAAGCAACAACACAATATCTATTTTGAAGTTTATTTTGTTAACCAACTTATGTTTTAAATAATGATTTAGATCCCTGTTTTGGGCCCGCTTCTCATTCTGTTTCTCCGGATCATCAAAAAGACAGCGGAATCTCGGATAGGGTTCGCGGTTGGCCATCTCGGATCTACCGCAGCACAGGGCTCTCACAGGATGGTGCTGAGTGCTGAGGGATGTGCTCAGCTGCAGGGATGGCTCCTGGCCAGGGGACCCAGTAGGGGACCCTTTGTTGTTTCATGATGTTCATGTGTCCTTCACCTGCAGCTGGCAGGACATGAGCATCAGAACTTCCTGCCCAGGTGGACGGTCCTTCGACGGATCGCGTGGTGAACGGAACGACGGTGACCAGCAAATGGTCGAGCGGAATTCGTGTCGAGCGGACGAGCAGCTCCTGGAAGGTGCTTTTTGTTCGGCTTGTGGTCACCTGGTGAGACGTTGTGGTCACCATAAAGGAGCTTAAAGGAAATTAATCCCAAAAACACATCCACACTTAGACTTATATAGAGTGTTTTTCGAGGTTCAGCTTTGTTGTTTATATGGAGCTTAAAGGAATCCACAAAAAAGATGACACCTCGATGGTCTGATGGACGGGCTCGCCTGCATTCACACTTTGTCTTCACCCTTTTGTTGCCTGATCACCCCAGAACAAGGTTAAGGCGCCCTACGTTTTCTAGTGCCTCTCTCAGCGTGCCAAATGATGGACAAAATCCTGCATCACCCATCCCAAACACCACACAACATTAAGTTGGGGGCACGAGGGTTGGTGTTACACCAGTCATCCATTTTATTCTGTTCGACGCATTTCCTCACCTCTATGATCAAAGTGGGAGCGCAAGGGTATACATGGGGTTGTTCTTCAGAATCTTTTCCATCAACCGTATCTTCTTCTTTGTTAATTCATGTTGATTCTATTTGCATCCTTTAGTACGCAGAATATTGATGCAAATGGAACACATATGAACACACCAAACTGAGATTCACTTGCATGTTCTACATGCAAGTTGCATATCGTTTCATATCTATCACACTTCGAAGAGAGCTAAAGATGGTTCCAGGATGTTCCAGGGGGTTCCACGTGGGTTCCACGTGCTCGCCAGATGAATTGCGTCCCGTTCGCCCCAAGAAGCCTCCGTGACTTGGGGCGACAACGGTGTGTTTGGCAGGGATGCGTCTGCGGATGCGTTTGGCGATGCGTTGGCGGTTGAACGAGATAGAGCACCCTTACAAACTTCACGATGGAATTGGTCACGATGGAATTGGAAAAAAATTAGGAAGCACTCTGGTTCTGGAATTTGGACTAAATGGAACAACATGTAAACCCTGCTCGATTTTCTCGGTGTTCAAACTTTCTCAAACTCCTCTTGCGCAGCTTTGAGTTCTCTCACCGCCAACTTCTTGCTTGCTCGGGCTTGTCTGCCTGAGTCTGGTACTGCTAGAGCTTGATGCAAGCCATTGATGGGCAGGTGCAAGCAAAGCACAACAGTCACAATAGCAACTTAATCAACTTTGAAGCCAGGGCGTGATTGACCACCTTGTTGACAAGCCATAGTGTCAAAAAAGGAATGTACCTACCATACTAAAACTTTCCTAGGACAGTGAGAAAAGCCATGGTTGATACTGAATGTATTGTCTTTCAGTAGTTTGAAAGGGAGGTGCGAATTTTAGGTAAGGACCTGACAAGTCATCACTTACAGGGCCCTCAGGGCCATTGGTTCTCGCCCAACTGAGGCCCCGTGGCCGCAGGAAGAGACCCTGCGAGGCGGTCGCAGCGTGTGCGCTTTGTTCACGCGCTGTGTGTTCAGAGGAAGGTCGCAGCTTTCCATGAACATTGACAGGATGTTTTGGGGATTGGGCGAGGCTGACTCTGTATAAGGTGCGGCCGGTGCGGCCCACATTGTGTAGACCATGTTAAGGCACAAACGCAGATTGAATCAAGCTCATGTTGGTACACAACTGCGGGACTCGGGGCTTACTTTTACCTTTGGAGCATTTCCTTTCGTTGTTCCGCCCCACGAGTTTTGCACGCATGAGTTCAACTTCTGAAATGGAAGGAGTTCTATGCTTTGTAGTCCCGCAGGAGTCTCAACAATTATCGCAATTATCACCTCCAGCATTTGAGTAATTTGATTTCACACTTTTAATATCCTTTAATGCTGTGTCTCAGGTTGTGGTGGTGTCCGTGGCGAACTCTGAAGTCCAAGAAGAGCCTGAGTTTGCGTACAAGAGCCTTTTTGCCGCTCACTTGGTCTATTGAGAGTCGATTCAAGTTGGAATCAAGTACCGGCAAGGCTTCATGTCGCTACTAGGTACAAAGAAACGCATCAAGATTAGTCGAACTAAAAGCAAATGCATATTCTGTCACCGGCAACAATGCATGAAACATCATGAAACAGGTCAGTTTGGGAGTTAAATAAGTTCATCAATAATTGCTGAATGATAATAATTTATCCGAAATAATATTTATATCTACATGGTTAATAGAATATTAGATCAACAAATTATAATGGAATATATCTAAAATATCACGACGGTGGCAGCAACACTGACATTGGCCTCTCGGCAGGCTTCAGTTGCTGCATTGGACACCAGCTGCGCCAGGTCCACATTGGATTCGCTCGCGGCCGTGTCAATCCGCTCCACCTTGGGCTGGGCAAGGTAAGGGCACACGACTAGGCGCAGGCCTAATAACCCTTAGCGTTAACTGAGGAGACTGCTAAAAGAAGGGTTTGGGCCAAAGAAACCACCAATGAGGCAAAACAACCACAACGAATCCCATAGTCTATAGGCCATAGGAATGGGATACAGTAGATGGAACAAATCCCACCGTCTTCGTGGAACCTGTGAAGAATGGCAGGAAACTCATGGAAACTCTGTACAACCTCCGGGTGCCATGGCACTATAGGCACAGCAATGCCACGGTCGCTAGGGACAGTGGGGTGGACGTTCGTTTGGCCCGGAGTCGCTTCCACGTCTGTTCGCTCCATACCTCAGCAATGTGTGTGGTTGTCCATGTGCTGAAGTGAGGAAATGAAATAGACTGAAATAGCATGAAGATTAATGAAGAGAGTTCCCATTCTGATTTTTTCTATGCCCTTTGGAAATGGAGGAGCTGATAACAGGTGCATTGGCAATGGTAGCATGTAGGATAAACATCGAAAATAATATTATATATATATATTGTATTTCCCCCAATAGTGTGGTCATACTAGGGGTTTTTACGGTAGTATTTAAGGGCCGGTGTCTAATTAAGGTGTCGCGCGTTTGTGTCCGGTTAATTTATTGTTATTTATAATATATTTGTGTTTTTGTTTTCGACATCTTCGCATATTTCGATTGTCTAGGATCGTAATATTAAATTGGTTTTATTACGATTATATTTTTATTGTGGTATTATGCATATTTTCGGATATGGTTATTATTTTTCGTGGTAGACGTATAGGAAAATTTTGTCTAAAATCGATGTTTCGTGATAAAATATGAATTCGAAATTATTTCGAATTATAGATTTCGTGGTAATATTATATTTTGGATATGGTGGGGATTTTCGATAATTCGTTTTGAAAAAGGTTTTATTTTTTATTTTCGAACAATATAAATATTAATTATTTATATATATATATAATATATTTCTAATTTTCGATTTTTTTAAAAAATTTAAAAAATCGAAAATTGATAAATTAAACAATTTGAATCAATCGATATATTGAATTAAGGAATGATTTTTAAGAAACGATGGATAATTTATTAATAATATAAACGATTAAATATGTTTATATGTTATATTTCTTTATGGATTGTTTATCGAAAAAATAAATTTAGGGGATGGTTACCGCGTCCATAGTGCGTTTTTTTGGGTTGCACAAAACGCTGGGTTGGACAAAACTATATATATTTTTTTCTAACAATCTGTTTTTGTAAAGTAGTTATTATTTGATGGCATTGAAAAAAATGCGCGAGTGCGTTCGTAACGTGCTGGACTAAACAAAACACATTACAATATTTTTTTACAATCCGTAATTATTCGCAAAATAGTTCTAATTTGATGGCATTGGTGAATGCATGGCGCGTTCGTAGTGCGTTGGGCTAAATAAGACTATGATGCATGCATATAGTCATTCAGTAATGTGTATAAAAAAGCAATTATATTTTAATTTGAATGACATTGGTGAATGCACGAGCGCGTCCGCGTAGCGCGCTCGCAGCGGCGTTTATGTATTCTTATAAGGACATAGCCATTATATTTACAATTTGTGCATACAAAGCAATTATGATTCGTCGCATTGGTGCATGTACGAGCGCGTCCGTAGAGCGTTAGGGCACAAAAATAGCCTAAAAACATGGCTTTTCCTTATTCGATGCAAATAGCAGCGCGACCCAAAGCAGGCCACGCATAGAGCGCTGGAGCCAAGTCTACATAATAACTTTCTTTTTTCAAGGTTGGCCTTCAAGCGCTCCACCGACACCCCCCCCCTTCTGCCTTCTTAACCCGGACCCGTTTAAGCTTTCCGTTTTCGGGCTAAACCGCATCTTTGAGCATCGAAATTGCGTAAAAATATGGCCCGCTTAAGGACCAAATTGCGTAAGCATGGCCCGCTTAAGCCCAAACCCGCATCTTTTAGCATCGAAATTGCATAAATATGGCCCGCTTAAGGTCCAAACCCGCGTCTTTTGGCATCGAAATTGCGTAAACATGGCCCGCTTAAGGACTAAACCCGCGTCTTTTTAGCATCGAAATTGCGTAAACATGGCCCGCTTAAGGACCAGACCCGCGTCCTTTTGCATCGAAATTGCGTAAACATCGCCCGCTTAAGCCCAAACCCGCGTCTTTTAGCATCGAAATTGCGTAAACATAGCCCACTCAAGGCCGAGACCCTTGCCCTTTTCGATGCAAATAGCGCAGCCCTAAGCAGGCCACGCGTAGAGCACCTGACCCGCCGGGGGGTCTACGCAGCAGGGCCGGAGCCAAGTCCACATAATAATTTTCCTTTTTCAA